ACAGATGCAGACACACACACACTCACACACACACATGCACACACACACGCACATGCACACGTGCACACGCACATGCACACTCAGACTCACACACACGCACATGCATGCACATGCACGCACACACACGCACACCCCAGAACTTACTTACCTCTATAAGCCTTTCATATTGTAACTAACAGAAAACTACTCTTCCCTTACTTTATGCTCACAATCTGTAAATGTATCTCTATAAATTTTCTAGAACCATGAATGGTCTGTTAGTCACAGCAACACGCGTGAGAAAGACAGGAGGCCGAATACGATAAACTTGTACTCTCACCCTGCCCTCCTGTAATAGTTAAACTTTGAGACAATTATTTGTGAGGGGTAAAAAAAAGAGATTACCGAGACCCATGAAAAGTCTGCAACTTTTCATCCAGGAATTATACTTTATACAACCTATCCTAAGTAAACACTTGTGAATTTGAAATAAATTGGGTAAACAAACACTTAAGTACTGCTAGTCATAGTGAGTATTGAAAAATCCATCACATCAAAATGGGAAAGTATAAAGCATTCAACAGTAGGGAAGTGGTTAGATCCTGAGGAAACCGAGGAATGGCACACACGGACATTCAGGATGCTGACCAGGGCCACACAGGGGTGACTGAGGTGACACACTGAAACATAAGGCAGATCATGCTTTATAAGTACTCTCTACACTTATAAAATATGACAATTAACTATAAAATGTCAGTTTGAAAATTTAAAAACCAACCGAATATTGAAAGCAATTTTGCATTTAAAAAAATGCATGAACAAATATTTAAACTTTCTTTCTCTAATTTACGGATGTTATCCATGTGTATTATACAGATAATAATGAAAAATAAACATTAAAATTAATCTTAGCTCATGCTTTAAAGCTTAACAAAGGTAAAAGCTTATCCCTTGGCATCTAGTGACAAGCCTATATTAATAAAAAGATAACGAAACATTTGTGAAATTAGAGATATCAAGTGAAAAATATTTACTCATATATTGAGAAAATAATAAACAAATATACTTATCATTTCTAAAACATGAGGAATAAAATCTACTGATATGCTCAGCATCTGTTACTTTATTCATCTGCATATTCCAACCCATTTTATAGACACCTACTTAACAAAAATTATCTACTTATATAAATGCAGGTAAAAACCTATGCTTCAAATACTTCAAATAACTTGGCTCTTTCTGTCATATATTTTGATACACGGTGTTTAAAAGGTGAGTTATTTACTCCAAATTCTACTTCTGACTGCTTACTGCCTATGTCAAGTGACTCATGCATGCATCATTTTGTTTTAAATGTTTAGAACATTGAATAGTGTCCCCTGCTTAAAAAGCTATCCTTATCCTCCAGATCTATGAGTATTACTTGGCATTGTAACCCTGGTAAGAAGCCTTGGTATGAGGAGTCTGTGTGTGTACCCATGTGCACTTATGAGACAGGGGCAGAGGGGCAGGAGCTAGAGGAGGCATCACCAGGGGAGAAAAGTGTGAGGGAAGACAGAATTTGAAATGAAGCTGGTAGGAGATTGGCCCAAGTTAGATGGGAAACTGGAGGAGGGAAGAGACTGAATTTTCCTCATACTTCCAGAAGCAATGCAAGCCATCTTTTATGTTGGTTTTAACTCTACAGGGTTCTGATTTTCATCTTAAGCATTATACAATAACCATGTTCTCTCAGGGTTTAAGTCTGTTAGACTTTATCATAACAGTATACTAGTATAGCAGTAATACTAAAGTTAGACAAAATACTTATTTAAATATATTACGTTCCTATAGGTTGCATTAACATGCATAATGTATGTACTGTCCTTGAAAGAAAGATTACTTACACATGTGTATGTGTATCTACATAAAAGATATATATGTGCACATATACACATATATGTTGATTATATACACAATAACTTGACATTAAGTGTACATTTTACTCATGTTACCAAGTATAAGATGTCCTTCTTCTCATCTTAAGAAATATAGTCTCTACAACCCTGCTGATATTTATAATATGTGACTGTATTGTGGGCCACAGAATAGGAACAGTTTCTATGGTGGTTCTAGATTCCCTGAGAGTGCAGATCTGCTCAGTGGTAAGACTCGCTAACTCCAATGCTGGCACAGTGGGCTTTCCTCAAACCATTATCCTTAAACCCAGACACTCATTTTTCTAAATATATTTGAATAATTTATCACTGAAAGAACTTTCAAAACAAATATGATCCTAAAAACAGTCCATATATACTTTGTTTGAATTGTAGTAAAGCAGTAAACTTAAGAGTATACACAAGTGTGAGTGTAGACACAGTTCATAAAACCCCAAGGGAAAAGGGAGATGTAAGCAAGCTGGTGATAGAACATGTGTGCCATCAAAGTGCGGAGAGGGCCCTGGGCTTGGGCAGAGAACAGGAAAGGATTCAGGATGAGGGTGGAAAACTGTCAACAAATACAAATCGCATACGCAAATATCATAATGAATTCTAATACTCTGAATGCTAATATTAAAAAGAAAAGCATCTAGTTTTTTGAAATTAAAATAATAACAAAAATCAATGTTACACCTGAGTATTTTTCCAGTGCTGGGTGCTCAAATCCAGGGCCGCGTGCTGGGCAAGCACTGTATCACTAAGTTGTGTCCTCAGCCGGCACACTGGTCTTCTTTGTCACTAACTTGCTAAATCTCCTAGATCTGTTACACTATACCCAGAATATAATGACTAAATCCAAGATCAAAGATTTTAATTATTTTTATCAAAGTGTTTCAAGAACATTTTAATAGAAATTTTAATTTGCATAAGGCAGATCCTTTTGAAATGTCAGTACTCTTTGTAGAATAATTTGAGGGCCAAGATTGATGGGCCTAAGAAACAAAATTCCTCTGGTCTTTTGGACCATTTAAAAATATAAAAACCATTTTTAGCTTATACTACCAATTTTTGAGAGTTTACTTGCAGGTCATGTCCCTGTGTAGATCACCAATCCAAAGCACCTTGCATTGTGTCCCCACCTTTAAACTTGAACCCACCCTCATGAAGCCTTGTTTTCCTTTCTTAAAAGATATTGAGATTATAATTTCATCATTTCCTGCTCCCTTTTCTTCTCTGATTTTATATGTAGTTAATGACTTTAGCCCTTGTTGTTGACCCTTCTTAACATGTTTGGGTAGGAGTTTACCTTACACGTTTGTTTTGACTATACTACCATGATACATGATACTACAAGGTCACATTAACAGTTCAACAGGAAGATAACTGTTCAGTACACACTATTCCTACTTTTAAAGATCTAAAAAGTATAGCAATTAATAGGACTCAAAATTTAAAAAACAATTGCTGGACTTTATAATATTAAAATGTGAAACAAATTTATCGTGGAACCCAGAAGAAAGTCTGCGGCATTGTCAGGGGAGGGGCAACTAGAGGAGGGCGGGGCCTGGCGGTCTGGTGGAGTTGAGGGTGCTCTTTGAGAAGCAGCTGTCAGGCAAGCACCGTTCACCTGTCTACACACTCAGCTCAGTCCCCTGCTTGCTTCTAAAAGGTGACAGAAGCCTGTGGCCGCCCATGCATCTATGGTCCTGGGGACATGATGTCCTGTACTCTAAATGTCCCTCTTCAAACAGTACCTGCCCACACACCCTCGAAACCCCGGGATAATTAAAGAGCTCAGAGTCAGGGAATATTTGAGAGTGAAGACAGAAAGATCTTGGAGAATTTTTGTATTTTTATCGAAGCTAAGTTACAGTGACAGTGAGACAATAGAAGTCTCTAGAAACTCTGAAACCTCCCAGCCTGACCCAATGCTGAATACTCTTGGCTGTACAGTTCTCAGCAATGTAACCCTCTTAGAAACAGCTGCTTCTCCTGGGGAGCAGAGATGACCGTGTTTATGAGATGCAGTGAGTTCACATCCATTGTACAACCATGCATAAGACACGCTGAGCAGCCATCCAGGTGAGCTGTGCACATACAAATGTTACATGACTCAGAACAAAGAGCGAGTTAGTATCAATCTCTAAAAAGCCAGACATTATCTTTGACTTCACACATGTATTGTGTTTTATTTGATTCTTGAGATAGAATTACCATTGGAAGGAATTTACAGAAAATAGGAAACAGGCTATTTAAGAATGATGAGGCGATTTTTAAAATGTAATAGAAGGGAAACAGCAAGCTGAAAATACATGTGTAATTCTGTGACAAGAAGAAAGGGAAATATAGAATCCTTCCAGAATCATCCAGCCGATTGCTCGGGCAGTAGCAATGACCAAATCAGCTTCCATGCACAGGTACAGCAGCATGTCACCTCATGGGCTGTACTTACCCTCTTCTTCCACCCCAGAGAGACCTGCTTCTTTCTGGAGCTGACTCTTAGCCCTCACCTCTGAAGAAGCCGCCCGCCTGGACTCCTTGGACTCACTCTCCGATAAAGCTTGGGTTCCCTTAGTTGGTTTTCCCTCAGTAACATGCATACCGCTGAGCTCTGTCAACCAAGGTCCATTATCTCCGTCTAGTTTTGTGATTTCTTGCTCTTCGATCTCAGTTTCCAAGTACTCCTCGGCTGGAAAGTATGGTTTTCCTGAGTCATCGTTTTCCTGCAGATCCTGAGAATAGGAACTTCTGGAACTTTCCCCTTCGCTGTTTATGGAGTCGCAGTCCCCGCCCACTTCCGTAGACTCATCTTCACTTTCGCTAGAGTAGGGGCGACTTCTAGATGAGATTGATGACGTGGTTTTTACATCTACAAAAAAAAAAAAAAAGATAGCATCTTTGTTATATCCTGAATTTATCAGCTGACATGGAACTAAATTGGAAAATAACCATATTAAACCTTTAACAAATGTTAGGGGAAATTGTTGACTTTCTCAATACATTCTATGTTATTATAATAAAAGAAATACTGACCTATAAACCACCAAGGTTTTTTGTTTTATTTTGGTTTGGTTTTTTTTTTTTTTGGTTGGTTGTTTTTTTGTTTTGTTTTGTTTTGTTTTGTTTTGTTTTATGGAGGGTCTTTGTTCTTTCGTTTTGTTTTCTCTTGTTATTTTGACACAGGGTCTCATTATGCACCCCACACTGCCTTTACTTTTAAAGTGTCCCAGCTTCTACTTCCTAAGTGATATTATTAGACGTGTGTGCCCCAAACCAGTTTATGAACCATGGAAGATTTATTAAACCGCATTTAACTGAAAATTAACTCCAGGTCTGACTTGTCTCTGTGAACCTCTGGAATGGCTATACATATTTTCATTGTTGGAAATTTTGAATACTAGTCTGATTTTTTTTTTAAGGACACATATTTCCTTCTCTTGGTTAGTCACATCAGTAATTTCAATTATTTTATCTACTTTAAAACCTACCATCCTAGAACGCTTTGGTGTCTGGGTACCCATCTCTGCACTTACAAAGTAGGTAGGGTGTTAATGGTTTTAGGGTCTGTGTATATGTAGATACTCCCATTTTAGAGTGCCTATAAGCAAGATTTTAAAAGGAAGCTGCCTGAGAGACATGGAGTAAGAGTTCCAGGAGAAAATCTTAGGGGAATTAGGAAGCCAGACGAGGATGAGAGATAATCCACCAAAGAGCTGTCTCAAGGAACAACTCAACTGAAACCATGTGAACTTCAGAAGTGAGAGCTGTCTGAAAAGGAAAAAATAAAATTAAGAGGGAGCTGGGTTTTCACACTTTGAATCTGTGAGATATTGGCCGTGGGCAAACCTAGGAGGATATAAACTCCCTGGCTTCTACGGGCATCTTATGCCCGAGGGTGAAGAAATTCCATAGCCCAAGGCAATCCCTGAAGAAAACAGGGGACAGAAACCAGGAGGCAGACCACAGAGCAAAAAGAGAGGCCCAAGCTGAACTCCTAGATGGAGCCACAGATATATACTAGAAACAACATATAGTAGTCAACAAGGACTTCCACCTGAACCCAACAAGGCTTTTGGAAGCTTCCAAGAACTAACACACATGTTGAATCTATAGAAGGAAGAGGCGCTATGTAAAAGTTCCTGCTCACATTACATTGCTTCAGACAAGAGAAACACGAAGTTAGTGTTTGCTTTCTAAAACAAGTTGCTCTGTACTTATAATCATTTTATACTTTCCCTAGGGATATCGGGGACCATGCATTAGGATAGATTCCATCAAGTGAGTCTCCAGTGCTTCCTAGCTTTGCAGTTCACTTGCTGATTCTTCTATCACTACATGACAGCTACACAGATGGCTTTGCCAGCTAATGTGGAGCTAACAATGAAAACTAAATAAATAAAAACACCAGCCTTTCCTTCTTCTTCCTCCTTTCCCTCTGGCTCTGCCAGCTCCCAATGGCTCATTTTAACATTCTAAGTACAGCCGTGGAGACACACTAACACCCCCAAAAAGGCACAAGTGAGGCTCCAAGCACCAAGACTCTCACTAGAAGAGGTTTCTTTAAGCAGCAGGCCCTTTTAAGTGTCATTTGTTTCATCCTGATACCTTGGCAGGCGGCGGGTCCTATGCTTCGAAAGAACCCTCATCTGGACCATTGGCTCCTGGTTCTCCCTTCTATGTCTGCACCCACTGTCTCTCCATAAAGCGTCTAGAATTCAAGGAGACCAACCTCTCCTCTTACTTGCACCAATCCAGAAACTTTGAGTCTACACTCAGCAGCTCTTGTAAATGCTTCACACAATTTTAATGAGGAACAACTCATACCTATCAGTGGTCCCATGGATGGCTCTACCTGATGCACTGCAAGCTGGGACATTGTTTAGCTGGCTCAGGGACCCCAGAACTGCACGTACTACTCAAATATCTATTGGCAGGATGATTCCCACTTCGAGCTCTGTGAGTCATTCACACGATAATAAACAGATACCCCCTTCTATCTTTCTTTAGTAGCTTCTATTAGGTATATTATCTTATTTCAAAAGGCTGACAACTCACCGTGGTTCAATTTTGAGTAAGATCAATAAAGAAAGAAGGGGAACTGAGAGGCCTCAAAGCGGCAAGCAGAACTTACATCTGATACAAACTCATTTCCGTTTCCAAACATCTCCCTCATCTCCTGGTGTGATTTTCTCTCTCTCTCTCTCACTCTCTCTCTCTCTCTCTCTCTCTCTCTCTCTCTCTCTCTCTCCTTGTTCCTGTTTCTATAGAGATCCTGGGGTAACATGGGGCTAGTCCAATGGGATTTCCACCATGAGTTGTTTTTTTTTTCTTTTCGAAATAAAGCACAATTTATATAAAAATGTTCATAAATTTATATAAAAACATTCATACAAAGCAATCCTGAGGACACATTTGAAATTTTCTGTCATTAGAATAGAAAGGTTATTGGAGGCATACCAGTAAAGCAACAGCCTCCTGCTTGACTCTGTCCCACAAAGTCTCCTCCACCCTAGTCCTGTGGTTGAGAGACCCTGCTGTCGGTCTTCATGGTCAGGAAAGTATGTGTTCTTGGTGCCTGAGGCTCTGTCAAAGCTGACTGCATGTTCCCCACTGTTTCTGGTCCCTAGCAGGATCATTGCCTTCCCCTGAACATTCATTCAATCACCGTCTCTCCTTTCTCTGTGTCATTAACAATATTGACTGACTACATGGGCTCACCCAGCCATAAATGCTGAGAGAATCCCATGGGCCAGGAAAGATTCTGCCAAGAAAAGAAAGCTGTTCTTTGGCTTCTTTGCAGAGTGCACCACGCTCTTGGGTGACTATCTATTGACTCTCGTTTGCAGAAGAGATGGGTAACTGCACTGTTGATCTGGTGTTTGTTCATTTTCATAGCAGCACCACAGAGATCTCTCAGAAAGGGTTGCTACTTTCTTCACTTCCTTTACCATCAGCACCTGCACAGTCTGTCTTACACCGGTGACAAGAGCGGGCTGGGGTTTCAACAATTCCTAATCTTCGGTACGGAGCATGCTTTAAAATCAGCTAGCTTCCCATAGTTCTAGCTTTTATCTTGTTCTGTTTGTTGTTGTTCTTTAAGCTAGGATCTAAGATATCTTAATTACTTTCAATTAAAACTTTATATCAAGCCCATGGGGCCCAACCCAATAAATCCCACAACTCTTTCATCTGTAATACTAATGGCACTTTTTCTTATTACTAAGAATTCAAAATGAAGTCTTCATGGATAATAGTCCTATTTTCTTCAAACACACTCAGAACTCCTACTATGACTCCTGTATACTCATGAGCTTGTGAACTGTCTGTGTCTCATACCAGGTATCAGGGTTCAGGCGAACTCTCCATAGACAATACCTCCAATGCGGCAAGTAATTGATACTCAGTGAGCATCCTAGAACAGTGGTTCTTAACCTTCCTCATGCTGCAGCCCCTTAACACATCTCCTCGTGTTGTGGTGAAGCTCATAAATATTATTCTCGTAGCTACTTCATAACTGTAATGTTGCTACTGCTATGAATCACAATGAATATCTGATGTGCAGGATATCACATGCCTGTAGGTGTTGTGACCTCCATGTTGAGACCCACTGTTCTAGAATGAATACAGATTTTAAAATGTGGAAATACAAATTAAACTAATATATGAGCCAATCTTTTGTCCTAAGAGCAGGTATATGATCACCAAAAAATAATTATCACTCACTGAAGTGTTTCAATCCACCAGTGAGATAAATGTACACATTACCTTGTACGGATATATCTGCTGACAATGCAGCTACAACAGGAAGAAAGGACCCCAGAGCATGTAACCACCTTCACACTGTCTGATTGAACTTGCTAAGCCTCATAGTGAATACAGCATTGAGATTAGAATAAACACAAGTCACACTGTTCTGCCTATACCTTTATGTATTTGCATATTGATCTGGTCAATCAACGTTTCTTTGGAACTGTACTGAGTTACTACTTGTACCATACAGGTTCAGGAGTGTAGTGAAGCCAGCTACTGTGGCACATGCTTCTGTTCCCAGCATGTGGGAAGCCAAGACAGAAGGATTGCAAGTTCAAATCCGGCCTTAGAAACACACTGAGATCATGCCTTGAAAAGTCAAAACTATAGGGAAAGAATTAATTTGATGATATTTTGCGTAAACGAATCAATTGTGAATTTAATCATTTTTTCAATATGTGACTTCCTATTCCAGGAATCATGTTATTAAGAAATGACTGAGGCAGGAGAGATGGCTCAGCAGATAAAAGTACTTGGTGTTCTTTCGGAGCTTTTGGGTTTTGTTCCCAGTACCCACTTAGCAGTGACTATAACTCCAGTTACAGGGCATCCAAGGTCTTTTCTGGTCTCCAAAGGTACCAATTATGTGTGCCATGTACTTACATTCACATAAGCAAACATTTAAACACATAAAATAAGAACAAAAAAACTAAATAAGTAACTATGCAAAAATTACACATAAAGTCTGTCCATATATTATGGATAATCTCCTTGTGGCTCTTCCCCATCCAATTGTGGGCACAATACACTGCAAGCTCAGTACATTACAATATGCCAAATACAATGTCCATACAGAGAGGACCTTGTCATGTGCTTCTGTACAAGACCATACATAGTCAAACCAGTATGATCAAAATCAAAACACATAGTATGAATATATGAAACCTTCAAAAAATATATTCAAGTAAGTAAAATCTAAAACTGGTAGTAAAATCTAAAACTCTTGATGTCAAGTAAATTGAATTTGTGTGTGTGTGTGTGACTCTGAGATTTTTAGGTCTATGACATCTACTTCATCGATTGAAAAATACACAAATGAATGCTTTTTTAGAAGAAAAAGATGTTTCCGGTCTGGCTCTTTTCTCAGTCTGAGAACCAACGCTGTCTGTCTCTTGATCTCCAGCCTCTCTTTGATGTCTCTCCCTTCCCTCTCATGAGGAATTACTTAGTCTTTACCTCTTCACAGGCATCATTACCCAAAGTGCCCATGAAAAGTGTATTCTTAGTCACACAGTGTCTTCCCATCAGAATTACAGCATCTATTTTTGACAATGCATTTTCTGCTGGTAAATTAGTATCTGGGGTTTCAAACACAAATGCAGAGAGCAGAGCTGTCATTCCTTTTAAATGGCAGGAAGCTGCACACATCATTCCTGGAGCAGGGTCCTCTCTTAGACGTCTATTCTTCATCACTCATGGGCTACAAAACTGAGTTCATCAAAGTGTGCTAGTGCAATTGCTAGCTGGCAGTTTAAACAGGGCTGATTTGCCATGAGAGTGACAGTCTGGACAAGTGTTTGCCCCTGGGAACAGGTGCAGGCAGGTTCAAATGAAACACATCCAAATATGAACAGCAAGCTTCTTGATGGTGTCAATATAAGGGATGAGCTGATTACTTGGATTCAATGCCTAGGCTATACTTCTCACACATTCATAGGTGAAATGCTGTATTTACCATGAGATCCACCATAATATTGTCATTTTTAATAAATGCTATGTACTAGCCAGATAGAATCGCTAACTCTTATACTTCTCATACTAACAGGCACACTGTTGAGCATCACAAAGGAATGTGATTAAAATAAAGGGTCAGAAGACAGGAGACCTCCCAGGAACAGACAAGCAGTGAGATTATATTTCAGATACTGGCGAGGTGGCAATGTACATGCACACCCAGGATGTAAATCGGTCTTTGAAAGGATACTTGGATAATTCCATTATTGAAATGAGAAGAACTAATAGCTTGTCAGTTCACTTCTGCCTCATAAATTTTCCAGCATTTGTGAAATTATTACGACTATGACCATATCTAAAACATTGTGTTTTTGCCTCTATGTAATAACAGGAATTCTGCATAACTATTTCAATTAGTATGCTAAGAGCTACATATCATGAACATTAATCAGAGATCACAAGAGTACTCGAAGTACTTCAGAAGGCATTTTACAAAACCTCTTGTGATGCTATCTCTGTGAGAAAAAATCAAAACAACATCCCATCCTGGCTTCCTTAGCGTGGTTTTGTTTGCCATTAGCTTGACTAATCTGAGAAACAAAATTTAATACACAGGAAAGTCTGAAAACTGACCTACTACAGGATATGGTTTACAGGCTTAGCTCAGGCTGCCCAGTAAGCAGAATCACTAAGAGGAGACCTTACAAAGTTTAAGAAGAGAGAGGGACATTTATGCATGGAGACAAAGGTCAATCTAGGAAAATATAAAAGCTGATAATTTTTATTTCTCTTTTGTAAGAACAAAACAGGCTGAAGGAGAAAACAGAGGCAGTGAGAACTCAAAAGGCCTCTGAGCTGTAGAGGCCCCAGAAAGGAAACAAATTCTTTTCATTGGGTTGAAAGGTTGTTCGAATTTTAGGTACATGAATATTTTTGGATTTTGAAAATGTATGTTTTCTACAAAGTATAGGTTTTGAGGTTTGGTTATAATTGGAACTAAATTGCAGTTCTTTCTGGCTATGTACTGGCTTTGGGATTATTTAATTTCACTATTTGCAAGCTTATGTATTGTGAAATGTAGATAAAGGAGAATGTAATTGCTTTTAAGGTTGTTTGAGGTAAATGAGGTAATTCATGCAGCATGTTTAATGTGGGGCTCAGCACATAAAAGAATCCTAATAAAAAAGACTCAGTTCATGGGCTATGGCACTGCCTCCACAGGACGCCTTTCCAGTCAGTGACAGGCAAGCGGCAGTTGGCATCAAAGTTTCCCATCCCTCGGTTATTCAGTAATTATGGTGCAAATAATCAAAGTTTTCCCTTTGAAGAAAAGACAAGCACTTCCTGTATCCTTCTCTTTGTGAATATATACATATGTATATATATACATCACATGTATATAAAAATCTAGGTGACCTCCAGAAAGTACAAAACTCAGACAATTGATAGCCAAGGACCTCAGGATCTTTTTTATATCAACAGCCTTATAATCTTTCACTATTAAAACAGGCATGAAAACCCAAGCCAGGTTTATTCTGAGTCAATTATACTTATACACAAACACATTTCCAATCAGTTTATTGATAAATCCCTTGGATAATTTCTTTACAAATATTGACTGAGGTGAATTCTTTTCTACACAATGACACTTTTTCTATTGAATCATTTAGTTTTGTGTCATAAAGAACCATAAACTGAACTCCTCCAGTATGTGTATTCAAGCTGAGACGAGATCTTACCTATTACATGTATTTAGTGTAAGAAGTATGAAGTGTAAATAACAGAACCTATAGAACATTTCAATATATTAAAATACTGTAATGTTTGACATTGTAATAAATATGAATGTCGATCTTGTTTGCAAATATACTGAGTTAGCTTCATTATGATTTTTAAAATTACATTTCATTTACTCCTTATCTTAGCCATTGAAGAGTTTAGTATTAAATATGTTGTTTTCATATTCGTGGACCAATTTTGGCTTTGAAACAAATCCATTTTCTCTTTTACCCTACAGAAATCTGCTGGTTTTGCCTTAAATACATGTACATTAAATATTCGAACAAGTTTTCTTAAATTGTAGTTTGAAGAAAGTGGAATTATTAACTAAAGATTTTACCCAGAACCAAATTGATTACTTAATTCCTTTTAGACTCTCTAAATAATTCCCAAATTCAAAACTTGATTTTACATAGAAAATAATTTGGAATAAAAAAGAATATTTTAAAATGTTGTCAACTCAAAAAGTCACCAAATGCAACCTAATTTTCAAATTACAAATTTCAAAGCTATGCAGACTTTTAAATATGTAAGAATCATTGTTATTATTATTGATAAAAGCCAAGAGGTGCCAAGAGAAATCTTCAATCAAAAGCCACAAATCATAAACCAAATACGTGTATCCAACAAAATAGACAAACATAAGTAAACTACAGTCTTTTAAAAAGTCTTTTCCTACCTAAAATGACCTTTATTTTTCCTTTGAACACTTACAGTTGTTTTAAGCTGATTTTAAAGAAGCTGCAGACCCTTCTATGAACTTAGTAGGTCTATATCCTCTTCTCATGGCAGAATTAAAAGAAAATGAAAAGAGATAAGTGGCCCAAAGCTATTAGAACCCATTTGGCAAACAGAAGCTGCTGAGCTTGGGTTAGGGGCTCCTCAGGCCAGGCTCACAGGCAGCTGTCTCCACCCTCAGAGCTGACCCTGCCATTCTGACTGTCACAGGGAAGTGACAGGCACCCTACTGATACAGCCTGCCTGTGAGCTTCTCTCTGTCAGTCTCAATGTCCCAAGGGGATTTTAGGATATCCAGAGCAATCAGGAGCATAGGCAGCACACCCAGTATAATGGACACACTAATGGGCTGAGAAGTTGCCCTTCCTCCCACTACCTGAACCAGGAATCAGTCAGTCACGCTGCAAGCAAGTATGTGTTACCCATCAATCATATTACGTAGGATCCCTGGAGACTATGAGAAGACCTACACTCAGAACCCCTGGCACACTGTGGACTGTTTTTCTGTGGCCTTAGTAACTCTTCCAATAAATGTTATCCAAAAAGACAACCTGCCTCAGTATCTTTCTGGAATACCACCCAAGCCCCTTACAGGAGCTACTTCGTGTGTGGGCGTGTGGGCATGTGTGTGTGTGTGTGTGTGTGTGTGTGTGTGTGTGTGCCTGCGTGCGTGTACTGAAATATTTTGAGATAAAAGGATTAGCAAGTTTTTAAGTAGACAGAACCCAAGTCAGTACAAGCCTAATCTGACATCTTGCCAAAAATCCCCAAACTAAGAAAAACAAACTGACGAAGAAACATCTCCACAATTCAGAAATGCACTGAGGGGCGGCTGGCCGGGATTCTCGGGTTAGGTAGTCACACATCTCTGCCTTATTTAGGAAAGGTGAGCTCCCATCACAGTGTGCCACACTCTGCCACCTGCCTTGTCTGTCATCCTCTTCGCTGTCCGAGCATCCAGTATCATCAAAGTTCTCACTGTCATGGGCATCTTCTGCCTTCTCTGAAGAGGTTTCAATCTCCTTTTCTGGGTGTTGGTTATCTCTCTCACCTTCGGTGGGTGACTTGGACCTTTCACTCATCTGGTCATCAGCCTGGTCCTCTTCGTCCACCTTCTCATCTTGTTTTTCCTCATCTATTTCGAAATCTTCTTCATAGTCTGAAAGAAGAAAACTTCACTGAAACCATGAAAACAGAAACCTGGGAGCTTCAACTACTTCACTCTAATGGAAATTCTGTCTCCATTGTCCTCTGGCTTCTGGGTCTTTCTCTGCTGATTTCTCACACAATTATGAAACTGGGATGACTAATAGTAAATGGTCAAAGACTGCAATCAGCTACACACAATAGCACAAAAAGAAATGAAGTTCAAAATGACAAGGCTGGAAAGCTAATACAGGCTCATTTACAAATGGACACCGTTACCCACGGTGACCAAATGGAAAGGGGGAAGCTTTATATAAGAGAATAAATTAGAAGTAAATTAAAAATGAGGAAAACAGGATTACAATAATGGAAGTTAATCTGGAGACCCAGTGAGGTCATATTTCATATGAAGATTGTTCAAAATATTTGGATATCACTCTAATTAATAGTGAAGTGGAAAAATTCAATTAATCACATCCAAAGGACCTGAGAGCTAGCCTGTGAATAGCATGTTGAGTGCCGAATGAACGATGAGCAAAGCTCTAAAGATGATTTTAGAACAAGAACCATGTAAAGTGTTCATTCCTACAATGCACAGAATAATTACAACTCAAGAATAAAAACTCTACGAAATAGAACATCGCTGTCACAGCCTCAAATTTACTTCATTCCCTACAGGGACAGAGCAAATTTGTACCAGGGAAAGCAAATTGTCACATCGTATAAACTCCAGCTGTCTCTCGTGGTTATAATTTTTCACCTTTCATATTTAATTGTTTCCTCTTAATTCACCACCCAAACTTAAAATCTCAAAGTGACAGCAGACCGAAGACAGACAGCAACAGGCTCTCATGCAGAACCAATTAAGCAAGTAAACAATTATTCCCTAGCTAAAAGATAGAAGGAAAAAAAGGTTTCCCGAGTTTTGTGTGTTTTAGCTACTAGACACTTTGGCTCTTCTGGTGGTGGGGCCTCCTGGGTAATGGACTTGAGAACTGACTGCCCAACCTATGAAATCAAAGAAAGTTAATTCTGAAACGAGTGTCCTAGGCACGGAAAATGTCTCCTTCGTGAAAACAAGAGTGGGGTAAAAATAAGAACAAAGTGGACACGACAAGATGGCTAATGTGAGATCTGCACACTTAAGGAATATGTCGGGAAACGACATCATAGAAGAAATGGCAGGGTGAGGAATTTAGCTCATGTTTCAACACACAGAGTAAATTGTAAGAAAGTAAGGCGATTCATAACGCTGCTGGGCAAGTTACAGTGCAATTTCTGTCTATAATATTTTATCTTTATATGTGTCATGTTGTGTGTCACGTGTGTTTCATGTGTGTGTCATGTTGTATGTGTTGCATGTGTCTGTCATGTTGTGTCGCATGTGTGTCGTGCGTGTGTCACATGTGCGTGCATGACATGTACAGATATCTACAGAAGCCATAGAGAGCATTAGATCCCCTGCAGTTGGACTTAAGTTGTTATGAGCCACAAGTGTAGGTGCTAGGAACTGAACCTGGGTACCCTGGAAGAGCAGCCAGCACTCTTAACAGTTGGGCCATCTCTCTAGCCCCCAGAGCAATTTCATAACTGTTCACTAATAAGCTTTAACTCAAAATTTTCTATGTAAAAAGAGTACAAAACTTTAAGAAAAGGCATGATGATAGTACAACTCCAGCCACCAAGGAGTCTCCAGTCTTTGTTGATGAAACGTGATTTAGGTAGATAGTGCACTCACTGTCTGCAACAGAAGTGATACCAAGGGCAGCTCCTACTTTATCCATGATTTAACTGTGTGCTTTCACTCACCCATCCCCAAATGCAGTCAAAAAAGAATACACGGAAATTCCTAGAAATTAAGCTGTAATTAAAAATATAACTATTACTAGGGAATCCATCCATCCTCTGGAGGCTGAACTCAGGGTCTCACAAGTGCTAGGTAAGCTTTGTACCATGGAGCTAAACCCCAGCTCTACCCTCATGTGTTCTCATAACTATTCTATTGTAGGAGTTATTGCTATTAATCTTCTGTGCCTAATTTATGAACTACATTTTGTCATGCAGACACATGTATATTTCAAAATGTGTACAGGATTCGGCATGATCTGTAGATTTAGATACTGGTAGAATACTTTAGGACAAAGCTCCACAGATAAAGAATAAACCTAAGTGAAATGGGATCAAAGAAATACTAGAGATCAGCTTAGTGTGTGTGTGTTTGTGTGTGTGTGTGTATGTATGTATGTATGTGTGTGCATTGTATGGCTGTGCATACATATGTGATGTGTGCATGTATGTACATGTGGATATGTGTGTAGGTGTGTGTATGTCTGTGCACACAAGTGTGAGTACATTGCGTGGCTATGCATATGTGTGTAGTGTGCATGTGTATGTGTGCAAGTGTGTGTAATGTGCACATATGTGTCTCTGCACATATGTGTGTGAATGTGTGCAGTACTTGCACTTGCATGTGGATGGCAGGTATCCTGCTCTATCTCTCTCCCTTGTCATCCCTTCTCACTCACCATCTTCATCCTTTGAGGCAGGGTCTCTCACTGGACCTGCTAACTGCTGGCTAGAACTCAGGGATTCTCCTAGCTCCACCCTTCCAGAGTGCTGGGGTTACAGGTGCTTGTGACTATACTCAGATTTTATGTGGGTCCTGGGAATTTGACCTCTGGTCCTCTTGCTTGCATGGTAACTGCTCATGCCTACTGAACCGTCATCCCTCCAGCCCCACACATAGACTATTTTGCAATATATGCTGTTAATCACAAGATAAGCAGGAGCCTGACAGAACACGAGTGTAATGTAGTAATTCCATCCATAGCATTAAATAGTAGTAAAATATGAGAGTTTGAAGATCAGGTGGTCACATGTCCTATACCCAGATAGAACATTTCTTAGCTATGTGACATTGAGAAATTTAACATCTTTAAGCTTCATCTTCTTTATCCATGCCATGGCTAGCACAAAGCTGTGGTATTAGAAGCAGCAATCCTTAACCCAACCCATGAGCAGGAACATATGAATCAGCACTAACAATGGTTGTCATAGGGTAATGGAGGAACTGGTCTTAAAGGGGACAAATCACATTAAAGTGCTGATATTTGGGAGCAATACAGGTTACTGGAGGATCTCAGTTTAAACCAGAGCAACACAGTGGCCAGGACAGGAGCATAAAAGGGATCTCTAAGGAAAACAGAAACAGCCCCGCATTTTATTTTTGACAGGTTTCTATATTTCCCCTCAAAACATAAAAATTCAGCCCTGATAGAGCATTGTGCTAACCTCTCATAACCCCCAGGAAAGCGCAGTAGTCCACCAGCCTTCCATTTTCACTGGGGCACAAGAAGAGCCACCTTTGTGTCACCCACTCATGGCTTACATGGGGATGACCTGGTGGTTCATGTTTGAGCATGCTTCCTGTCATAGGGTCTGCTCTCCCATCCTGAGTTCTTCTAGAGCATTCAGTTAGATTGTTATCTCAAATACCAACTTAAGAGGAGGGGCACTGGGTGAACAGATGCAGAGCGTGCATCTGCTAGAATCTCTCCTAACCTGACTCCGGCTATGCGATCAGCCAAGGCCCGGCAGAGAGGTGTGACTTGCTCCCAGTCTCCCCCACCCTCCAGGGTCTTCATGGAATTGGCAGTTAAAGCCCATTAACTCAGAACCTCCTGGTAAAGGGCACTGCCACAGCATAACCATGTTGGTAAAAGGAAAACAAGGGAAAGGGGTAAAGCCTCCCATTGCCCATCTTTTTCAAGCCCCGTATCTTAGGAGAAAAAGCACTGGGAAGCAGCTCTATGCCATCGCTGCAACAATGCCTGATAGCTTAAAATTCTCAGTCCAGAAGAGGGAGAGTGCTATGGAGGATCATTGAGGGAAGGGAACAGGGTGCCAGCGTTAGGAGTGAAATCTGTTAAAATTGTCAGGTTATCTCTATCATCAACACAGGAGACCCAGAGCGCTGGCTTTTCTCCAGGATTTCTGAAACCCCTATGCAGCAACATAATGTAAGAAAGTGGATTCTAAAGCCAGAACTTCCACAGAGAATGCAAACCTGTGGCTACTGCTCCTCTAATCCACCCTTTGTGTTCAAGAGATAAGGAGGCACACTCTGCCACAAGTGGCCTTGCAAAACCTGAGAATATTGGTGCGGAGTAAACTATTCAATGGTTTTAGAGTAGATCCACACGGTATAGACTGGAATTCTGTTATCCTGTCTGTGCTTGAGTGAGACCCATTTCTAACTGTAAAATAAAGAGGAGTGTGCTTCCAGGTAGGTGAGAGTGAGTGGAGGGAGTGGGAAAGGTGCCTGGCGACACGCACTGCTCAGAACCTGGCGAAGCTATTCTTGTGACTACCACTTTAGATTTCACTGTGCAGGCGTGTGAGTGTATGTCTCTCAGTGTGCCTGTGTCTGTGTACGTATGTATGTGTAGTGAGAGGAGTCATGTAAGGGAGGAGGAGGGGGCAGAGAGGGAGAGGAGAGAGGGAGGAAAAGGAAGAGAAACAGGATAGACAGACTCTAGGAATTCTAACTGTTAGGATATAGTGTCCTAGCTCCAAATGTTCACGTATATTGTACTTACAAACCCCAAAGCAGACAGCCAATGCCACTCCTGCAATCATGTCCGAAGACTAAATAAATAAAATTCTATCTGTTTGGTCAAATGGTCTCTATAGGTGTGAATCCTGACTCTGGCAAGCAGGACGGAAACTCCTTTATGTCTTCATACCTGTAGCAAGCACCTCAACGCCTCCGAGGCCAGGAAGCCTCCCCTCAAAACACCACAGAACAGAATGGAGGAAGTTGCCATGGCTGCCTACAGATTACAGCTAAACTACAGTGTAAAGGTTACTATGAAGACTTGGAACAACAGTAATGACAAGGGAAGCCTACTCTGGATTACCGTATTTAACAGCATTGTCCTGGTCCTCTTCCCAGACGTCTTGTCCTGACTTGCCCTTCCATTCCATTTCCTCAATAGCTGTCCTCACTTCTTTGACCCCTAATTTTATTTCCTCAGCTGAAAATGCAGCTGAGACAGAGGACTCTTTCCTCTCCATCTCGTTCCTTTTTGATGGTGCATTCTCTCTGTCCTTCTTCAGTTTCCCCTGACTCTTCTTCGGTGGCTCCTCCTTTTTCTCAGTAATCTTTTCTTTCTTAGGTTTCGTCGTTGAAGATGGTTTTCTGTCAAGGCCCATTGCAATAATGCATCTGTGAGAGATACCAGCATGAAGCCTTTATTAACTTGTATTGTAGGTTGATGGAGTCATAAACTTTATAACTCATGTGTATCATCTCTAATAAAATTATGAGAAATATGCTACTTGTTTTCATAGACCAATTTAAAATAAGCCATTTTATTTTTATTAATATGAAAATCTTTCATATGAACATAAATTCTTAATTTTAACCACAATAACGAATATTTTAAAAGCTCTCGTCAACCAAAAACTATACTATCAAGTTTTTACAAGAATTACATAAATTAATTTATGTACAAATATAATTTACATATAAATATAATTTATAATTAAGTATATAGGCACATAGGTAATGATTCAAAGATTTATAGATGATAGGTAGGTAGATAGATGATAGAGATAGATAGATAGATAGATAGATAGATAGATAGATGTATAGATAGATAGATGATAGATAGATAAATGATAGATGTATAGATAGATAGATAGATGATAGATAGATGATAGATAGATAGATAGATAGATAGATAGATAGATAGATAGATAGACAGACCATCAGTCCTTAGCTATTGTATAATTGAGAGGCTGGAGAGATGGCTCAGCACTTCAATGTTCCTCCTGTTCTCAGGACTAGAAGACTAGAGTTTGGTTCCTAGAATACTACAAGATAAAAGTAAACTTATTAAACAAAAGACATGTAAATAATCAGAAAAAAAGTTATTGCCTTTACAATTCATTACTCCAAGAACACATTAATGACTTGCATTTAAGGTCAATTCAAAATGTGCAATTAGTTTTTAAGAAACAAGATCAGCCATTCTTTGTTGTGCTTTTTAAGTATCCTGGGAGACTGTGCATTTTTTAACAGAATTTCCATTATTGCTTTTTAAGAAGAGCCTTCTGAAGCCCTTCCTTACAACCTTGTATGGATTCACTCGTGGTAAGCTTTTGTTCTTCAAAACTGGAAACATTCTGTAGAAGCCATTGCACCTCAATTTTGGTGACCCACCCAGATGATCTGAACACATTGTATATGAAGACATCAGAGAAACCCTCAGCTGCTGTTGGCTACCTTCCTCCTGCTTTGTGACAGGGTCTCCTGTTGAGCCTCTGTACACCAGGTTAGCTCCCCTTGAGCTTTTGGGGAGCTCTAGTCTATCACAGCCATCTCACCATGGAAGGAGAAGGGTACAGAGCCTTGTCCAGCTTGGTACTTTCCAGTTCATCACGGAGGCCCTCATACTTGGGCAACCACTGAGCCATCCCCTAGCCCAGGACAATTTCGTAAACTGAAGATTTTACTGGATTTTCAGCCATCTTGAGTCTTCAGGTAGCATGGAAATTGCTTAGTCATTTTTTTCAAAAATGATAATAACAAGAAGTACCGTATTCTATCACCTAACATTTTAGCATCTCCTTGTGTGATAGAGCTGAAAAGACTTACACTCCAGCTAAAGATCAGGCTATCAAACATGAGGGGATAAGAACCAAGCATCTCACCCAAATTAAGCATGATGAGGGCTTTTCCCATCACAATGATGTGCTTAAGTGCGTGGCATTCCCTGGGATAACGACGCCACACATCTTCACAGGATGTCATTATTAGCCTTGCCTTCTGTGTAAACATTCCTTTCTTGATCAGTGGCAACCACAAACCCAGGGTCTACAGCCTGTGATTCGCTGCTATCCTGAATGTATGTTATGCTGTGTAAAGGCTTTGGTGCCTCCCTGCTGAAAGCTCAGACGTTTTATAGCCCATCTGCTGAAGGGAATTGGACAAAGTGAGTAACATCTGGCTCCCCCATCACTGACTACCTCTTTCACTTCTGAGTGTAATTCAGGATGATGGCTCTGATTACTGAAGCTCAAATAAATTACTGGAATATCTGAAGTCGTCTAAGTAGGACAGAAGTCAAGTAAACAGGACTCCGTGACCACCCATCTCTCCCCATTTCTATTGCTACGAGAAGACCTCTACCTCACCTGTGACAAGGAGACAGCAAAGGAGACTGCCTAAAGCATTCACTGACATTTTTGGAAGAAGTGGTTTTGAAGCTAATAAAAAAAAGTAACTATTCTCTAAGAACTGTAAGTAAATCACTGAAGAGTGAAGGGCCTCATTCTTTAATCTCATAACTATTTTTATATCCTTGGCGAGATCAAGAGAATAAACTCATAGGAGGTAGAGAAGGTAGAAAGCACTGAGCAGGAGAGCTGATACCAACAGTCATGCGTGTGTTCTTTCCAAGTCCTCAAAACGAAGTGCTCAGGGCTTAGTAGTCTAGTTTCCAATTATACAACAACTCACTAAGAATATTCCATGCATTATTTACTTTTCTGTTACTAACATAGGAAATGATGGGGAAGTCAATGTGAGGAAGAATGAGTGTACTTAGCTTGCAGTTACAGAGAAATGAAGCTCATCTTAGGAAAGAAGCTGCCAGTCAGAAGCAGAGACCTCTCACTTCATCCACACACAGGATACAGGGAGAACAGGAAGTGAGGCCAGGACATCCAACTTCAAAGTTCTCCCAGTGTTGTACTTCTGCCAGGAGACTCCTTTCGCTACAGATTCAATTTCCTTCCCAGGCAGTGGAACCAAGTGATAACCAAGTGTTTAAATGCAGGAGCCTAACATTTCTCATTCAAGCACCCTGACTTCACATGGATGATTGAGTATAAACTCATTTATTTTCTAGAGAGTTCAGTGGAAATCTCCGAAATGATTTTCCAACAACCAGACAGCACATCTGAACTGGAAACAGAATGCCATCCTGCCCGTGCTAAGCTGGGCATTACAGAACAGGACTTTTCACTCACCTACTCTCTGGATTTTGTTTCACACCTCTTCTCTTCTCTAAAACCTCCAGTTCATCCTCAACCTCAAGTGAGAAATGTTATTTCTTATTTTAAGAAATAGTGCAAATAGTGCTTCCCACCAGCTAGTATCCACTGCACACTCATTAGCTAACACCCACTGCACACTCTACAGCTAACACCCACTGCACACTCTACAGCTAACACCCACTGCACACTCTACAGCTAACACCCACTGCACATTCTACAGCTAACACCCACTGCATGCTCTACAGCTGCATTAATAAGCATCTGTGGTAGCAGTGAGGTTCATCTTTGTGTGTGTAAGAACTTTTCCAGAGAGCATTGACTAAAGGGAAAGGACTTGGACACAGGCAGCACCATCCCACAGTATAATTCATCTCTCTGCTTCCTAACCATCATTACCTCTGCACACTCCTGTTGCTGAACTTTCTTGACCATGATGCCCTTCACCGTTCGCCCTCCAGCTCTTCTCAGGTATTTGCTCACTTCACTATGAGAAGTTGAAACACCAATATTCATCCTGTTCTCACATTTGGCTCAGAAAACCACTTCCTTATTCTTCATACGTTTATTTCTAAGATAATCCTGCCTCAGGGTTCCCTTTCAAACACTGGCTTTCCTTCTCTAGAGACTCCTCCTCCATGAGATCTTGAAGGGGAGCAGTACGAAGCTTGCTTGTCAGGAGTCCTCACTGTCTTAAGAAAGTCCTCCCTCTCATGACTTTCCTGCCATCACTATACAAAATATTCTCAAATCCAATCAGGTCACTTCACCCAAGATTCAGAACCCAACTGGCTAGTCATCATTAATTCTGTCATTTGAGTCATCTCACAGAAATATAAAACTTCCTGTGTCCAAAACTAAACCCTGTTCTTCCACCTCTCCAAACTGCATCTTCTACCACTAATCCTAAATACATGCTAAACACACATCTTTCCAGTTGTTCAGGACAGACCTCTTTTCTTTAGTCCTGTGTTTGGTTTTGCTTTGAGAGTGGGTTCTGTGAACAGAGCAGAACTTGCGTGTCCACCTCTACCCAATTTGAGACAAGGTCTCCCAACCGAACTGCCTATCAAACTCTTGGGATCTTCTCGTCTCTGCCTCTTAATGCTGGGATTACAGACACATGAATCCATGTCTGAATTTGTGTGTGCACTGAGGATCTGAACTTGGGTCACTCACTTACACAGCAAGTATTCTTACCCACTGGACCATCTCGCCAGGCCCTAGGATATTTGAGTCACCTTTGACTCTGCTTTTCAAATTTATGCCTGGATCCAATCAGTGGACCCATATCCCGGAATACACACACACGCACATGCACACACACACAGAGAGAGAGAGAGAGAGAGAGAGAGAGAGAGAGAGAGAGAGAGAGAGAGAGAGAGAGAGAGAAGAGGGAAGAGGAGGGGAGAGGAGAGAGGAGAGGAGAGGAGAGGAGAGGAGAGGAGAGGAGAGGAGAGGA